CAGTTTGCTTGGGAACGTGAGCAGAAGGGTCTGATGGCACTGATGCCCTGTGTTGGGGCTTCTTGTGGCCATCCGGCCGGCCACTGCAGGAACAGGAGAGTGGAGCACACAAACCTCTTGCCTGACCTCTGTCCTTCGCAAACCAGTTTTGAAATGGAGGAGTGGCATTGCACTCCCCAAATGAAACTGCTCTAAGGAGAATGTTCCCAGTCCACCTTCACCTATTTTATATTTTGGTTGCGTAACACATTCCCAGAACAGTCACAGACTGCCCAGCAATGACTCCTGCAATCTGGCGTCATTAATGACTTTACTTTGTCCTCTGAATCGCTATTAAAGGAGACATGTGGTGCTGGGAATTAATTACCCCTCTTGCGTTAATGCATCATGAAGATGACTAATTCAGGCTGCAGTGTGATAATAGAACTAGGATCAAAATAGGCAGAGATGGCCACGACTACAGTGATTAATAGTAGCCCATCAGGGATTTAATAACCTGTTCTTCCTACTGCTTGCCTTGGACTACAAAAACAGGCAAATTACCAAGCACCTGGTAATCCAGAGTACTTGAGCATGAGCTGCATTCAGCTCCGTTCATCACAAATTATACTTGGCAATCTGGGCTGTATAGGTTTTATCCACAGGAAAGTTAGTATAAAAGTAATCCTGCTTTGCAACAGAATGTCCATTTTCTATTCCATCTCTTAAGATTCTGTACTGCAATCTACTATCTAAATAAATATGGCATTAATGACAGCTTGGCTGCTGGAAATTATATGAACACCCAGTTGGAGAAGCCTGGATTAATGGCACATTTGACAACACAATGTTCCATCTTGACTAGGGCCACTGCATAGCCAATAGTCATTTTTTAAAAAACCTAGCATACTTATAGCCAAAAAGGGGGATTGTGAAATTATTTAATTATTTCCCCTCCACTACAAAAGAGAATGGAAGTGGGGGAAATTATCTGGAGGGCAAAATAATCCCCCAAAGTACAGATATAAATCCCATCAGCTTGACTTCTTTGATTCAAGGTTGTACTGAACTACCAGACTAGCCAATTACAGTGCAGTCCCACTGGTCCTCTAAAGTGTGTGAATTTGGATTTACTTGGAGGGCAGAAAGAGAAGCCACTGCCTCTTCAGGAATATCACTCACACAGGGCTGAGTAAGTTCTCCATGGAAGAGTCAGTCAGGCTGCGAAAATGAAATAAGGGCATTACAGCAAATAGTGAACTCCAAACTTGTGGGAAAAAGGAGTTTACTAAAAAAATTGCCTTGGGAGTCAAATTCATTTCCCAGCTTGTATCACAAAAGTAAACACTGCACACATATACCTCATACACTGAGCACCATGCAATATTCTTGGCAATACAGAACTTGCATTAGCACACTCCGTTCACAGACACCAGCGGCATAATTCCCTCTACCAATGTTTCAAAGCTCTTTAGTAGCACTCAGCAAACACAGATCATTAGAGAATGTGTGCAATTCTGCTTGCCACATCTGAGCAAGGTTTCATCCAGCTCCAGCCTTGCTTCCTTCATCTTTTAGCAACACTGAACAAAGCACATTGCGTGGGAAAGCCAGATCGTACTGTCTCCGGACCCTGTCATGTCCTGCTATGTAACTGTAGGTAGGTAGGCCTGTCACCTTTGTGCTTTGTTGATTATTTGGCAAGGAGACCTGTTTTAATACTCTCTAACCCTTCATCGTTATTCTGACCCCAGAAGCTAGAAGGGGGAGTTATGAAAATCCAGCTGTGTATTGGATACTTTTCAAGATAGCTGGGTAAGTGCATTATCTTCTCACAACAGAGCATTGCACCAAGGTGAGCAGCAGCTACACCCTTACAGTGAAGTCCCAAGACCTTCTCTGTGGTTCCCACTTGGCAGGGTTCAGAACCAGAATCAGTTTACCTGATATGGTAAGCACAAACTGGTCCCTTCCCTGTTTTAGAACAGAGCCTCTCACACTCCTCCTATGGGGATTGAGTGACAGAGCGGCAGTTTCCCACACCACCCAAATAATATCCTCTCCAGACAGCAATGCGCATACGATCCCCAGAAGCAAGCAACACTGAAGCCCCAGCAATGTTCTCCCAGGGCCCCATCCACTCCCCACTGCAGGAAATGAGTGCCCCGCCAATCAGCAGCTGATCAAAGAGACTCTGGGGAGGAGAGAAAATCTGTACCCAGCCCGTGGGCAGAAGTTCCCTCTTCCTTTTGGGGCTAGATCCTAACATGTCATTGGCATAAATGTTGAAATGTTGGCAAGTGTTGGAATTTAAACATTGATCTGTTCCTTGGCAATTAAAATAAGCAGGTGGATCCCAGAAAAGAAACTGCGATTTTTGATAACTGTATTTCAATGGAGGGAGGACTGCTTAACAAAACTGGGATCACCACACATAGAGATACATCCAGGGCCTCTCTAGAATGCAAACATATTGGTTTACACCAATTTAATTGCCTCGGGTTCTCAGAAAGTCTCCTAGAAATTGTAGTGGGGATCAGGCTGCTATTAACTGCAAGAGATTATCTCTAGCTAGAGAGAGCTAAAGTCTAGCTTGCTTTCCAAAATTCCTGGTGAAGAGGAAATGTTATGGCCCCACTAAAGCCATGTGCCATCCAAACATGGGCTTCTCATAGAGATCTGATTGGCCAGTGTGGAAGTGAAATGCTGAACAGGTTTTTGACCTATTCTAGCAGAGGTCTTCTCATAAACATGAGCTTTCTATACTATAAGGAAATATAACTATTGTAAATTAACATTTTTGAAGTTCTTTGACAAATGATGCCCTCAATCTCTAGTGATTCTGCATTGAGCCTTCAACTTGTTTTCTGCCATAACCTCTCACCCGACATGCACTCTTCACCTTACATCCAAGGTTTGACAACTTTTCTTTCTCAATTATCGAAGGCATCTGCTTCTAAAATCCAAATAAAGAAACTTCAGCCTTCTGGGGTTGCCATTTGGTCCTCTCGAGTTGCCCAGATGGTCACACCCCTTCCCTCTGGCCCCACCCATTTTCACCAACTACCAATCTTTGGACTGAAATAGCTCTCCTCAAACTTAGTCACTGGGAGTACGAATTTTGAGCACACACAGGCAGGCATTTTTTGCTGCTGGTCTCACCCCTTTGCCTTCAGCCCTGCCCACCGCTGGCTCCCAAGAACTTCTCTAAAAGCAGATTCAACTCCTTCTAGAATGTCGGCAGTTTTCTTGCTCCCACTACCCTGATAAGAAGCAGACAAGTCTGAGATCCTTTCCTTAGGATATTCCACAGGCCATCTGGTTTTGCTCTTTTGATTAGTTCTTTCTACCCTCTTTTACTCTGCAGTTGCAAGTTTTACCTAAGAGACCTATCCTGCAGTGGTTCAGGTCACTGTTTTTTTGTCTCAGCTTCTGCTTTTGATCTGGGCTGAGCACAGTCACTCTGCAGTGTGGCATTTTGCAGAGTACATGGACAAAGAAACATCAAACAGGCTGAGAATATTCTGCCAAGAAAAGAAATTGGTGCAACTCAAATCAAGAGTGTGACATTACAGTAAATAGCTGTATAGATAAAGGGAAAGAAAATCACCACCTGCATAGAATAAGGACCAAAGGAGCCGTTAAAAGGAATAATTGCTCCTTCAGTCTGTGGGAGCAAGAGCGGTAATTCCAAAAATAATCAGAGGATACACATTCTCTCAACATCATTTGTAATTACTGTTGCAACAGAAACAGGAGTAAGGCCAAGAACTTAGAGCTGCAATTTGATTAATGCTTGCTTGGGTTTAAGTTCCAACCATATTGAACAGTGGCACTTTTTTCTGAGTAAATATGCACAGAAGCAGACTGCACAAAATAAAAAAAGATCATCTCAACACAGGGCTATATACCCAGAGTTGGAAAACATGACAATGCTGGATTTGGAGAGACCGTATAAATAGTAGCTTATTTAAAAGATCCCAGTGCTAAATCCAGTAATCACTATGTTTTCTGGCATTCTAATAAGCTTAGCCATGACTTAAATCAGTATTCAGCAAAAGGCACTTTGCATATTCTCAGAGACATTCTGCTGCTTGGGGATGCTTGTGATGTTCACACTTTTGGCATGGAATTACTGCTGGCATAAGCACTGCAAGTTCTAGCTCCTAAGCAAGACTGTGAATATTCTATGTTATGTTGAGGAGAAAGTTCCAGAATCTTAAACAAATAAATTATATTCCATATCCAGCACCTTGGAAAGTGTCAGGGGGAAATCAGCCTATATCTACTTGCTTCCTTTTTGAGGTTTTCTCCCTTCAGTTTTTCTTTTAAGGCTACAGTTCTTGCCAGGCACACTACCAATGTAACACTAAAAGGAAAAAAAATAGCCTCGCTTAATAAGCCAAAAAAATAAATAAATCCACCTTTGGATTTTGAAAGAAACAATCCAAAATCTCATTTATTAAGACCAAAATTTCACAAAAATGCACTAGTTTCTGAGTTCATCATGGTAGATAGTACAAACATCAGGCCTACCCTAATGAAGAGTTCTGGGAAACTCAAGAATTTCCACGTTTTTTGTGCAATTTCGGTTGATCCTAATGAAAGGATTGTTTGAATTCCCTACTTTTAAAACAGTGAAACAGATTCCCTTGACTGCAGTGCATCTTCTTCCAAGATCATGCTGCCCGAGGCTCCCTTCGTCGGCAAATCACGCAGCCCGATCCTACGCACGTTCACTAGCAAAGTTACGCCAAAAAGTCCAGTGGCTCCGCCGCTTCCCGCAATGCCTATGAAGAACGCAAGTCGACCTTTTTCTTTGCAGTGTGCGATATACCAGCGTCAAGCGGCGATTGCAGAGACAGAACAGCAGGCGGAGCCCGACCCACGCTCCGCCCGGGTTCGCCTCTATTACCAATCCGGCGACACTCTATCTCCCGCAGGCATCATCTCTATGGTAAAGCCCAAGTAAATCATCTTAACCCCACATCCGCCTCTCCTCCCCCCACCCCCAGACTCCGCTCCGCCGCTTTGTATTGCTGAGGGAGGGAAGATGGCGGCGCGGGCGGGCTTCCAGGCTGTAGCTCCGAGCGGCGGCGGCGGCGGAGCTGGCCCTGGGGCGGGACCGCTGGGACCAGGGACTGCCGGCCCTCCCGTGCGGATGGGCCCGGCCCCCGGACAAGGAATGTACCGCTCTCCTCTGCCCGGCTCTGCATACCCGGTACCGACCCAGACCGGCTGAGGAAGGGGGCGGGGCTTGGAGGGGGCGGGGCTTCGGGGCGAGGCGTCAGCGCGAGTTAATGGGGGTGGCGGCGGCGGCGGCCGAAGGGAGGGGGAAGAGGAGAGGGGGGAACTGCAGTGGGCGGGGCCGGGGAGAAGGGGGAGGATGGGCGCGTCATTCCAGAAAGATGGAGGAGAGAAGGGAGCTGCAGAAGGGGGCATCCTTGGCTTGACGATCTGTTGGAAAATATAGGGAATATGGGGGTGAGGCTGCAAAGCGACATTGCGGGGACATATCCAGGTGGAGGTGGATGTGAGGATCAGGCACCCAGCTCTGCTAGGACACAGGAGGGGGGGTGATGGGAGTGAGGTGGACGGGATGGGGTGTGGGGCGGAAGATCTGGATAACTCTGGATTAAGCACTCATTAACAAACTGGTGCGTGGAGAAACACTTAGGCAACCTTTTTGGGAGGTGATTTATGCTATTTCATTTGCATTATTGTAAAGATTGCTAGTTATTTCTTCATCAAATATCTGAAGTGGTGTATGATAAAACAAAGAATTTTGTGTATCAGCTTGATTTTTCAAAATTGCTATTATGCTAGGAAGCATGTAGTAAGTGGTTCGGGAGCAAATTGGGATGTGGGTGAAGAAGTAGGAGCGTAAGAGATGATGAGAAAAAGGACACTTTCTGTAGTTAGCAGATTCAAGAGTTAAATATTTCCATGGATTATACGACTTTGAGTGATAGATAAGAGATTGCATGTTTTATTTGTTTTTCTTTTTTACTTTGGATACTTTTTCACATCCAAGGCTAGTGCTTTAGGAGGAAAGGAACCGATCCTTCTCTGTGAAATATTGAATTCATTTATGCAGAACATTTTATCTGTAAGAATAAATGTTCCAGCCTCCATCTGCAGATGGGAGTGGCCTGATCCAGAAAAAGCTGTACCGCTTGATTCTCCTGATTTTATTAACTGACAGTGGCAGACTTCCCATGCAGTCGAGAACAAAGAAATACTGCAGATATAATCAACGTGATATTAGTGTGTTCTGCTGTAGAGCAGAGGTGGTGCCCCAGAGGAGGCTCTCCAGAAACCATGTGTCCATGCATTTCTTTTTCCAGCGCCCTGGCATGTTACCTGGCAGCCGCATGAACCCTCAGGGACCTGCAATGGGACCTCCAGGGTATGGCGGGAGTCCTTCAGTTCGACCAGGGATGGCTCAACCAGGGATGGACCAGTCTCGCAAAAGGCCAGCCCCTCAGCAGATCCAGCAAGTTCAGCAACAGTCAGTACAGAACCGCAACCACAAGTAAGAACCTCCTCTTCTCTCAGAAGCTGTCCAGCAGTGAAGAACACAAGTTTGCTCTTTAAGCCCAGAAACTTCATCATCTTGCAATACTGCCTTCTGTCCTTTAACTTCTACAAATTGTTTACTTGGAAGGTGGGGAGGGAGGGGATGCACATCTGCACAAGTTAAGCTGGGAAATCAGCATTCATCAACTCAGAGGAAGAGGAGATAGACAAGTTACACACTCATTTTGAGGCGTATCTTTGCTTGAGCTCCTCTGCTCCAGGTGCAGTGGTCAGTCACACACTTGGGAAAGCAGGAGGCAGTGCCTGCAGAAGGAAGGGTTGATTCAGCCTTTCCTTCTGTGGCATCTGCCCATGATTCTCCACATCTGTATATGGTCCAGTGTAAGTGTGGAGCAGGGTGCAGTGCCATGCAGTTTGTGTGAATCAGGTGCAACACCAAAATCCCAACAAGCCTAGAGCAAGCCCTTAATGTTCTTTGGCACGAATCCTGGTGTACTTACACAATATGCTAAACCAGGTTTAGGCAACCTAGTAATCTCCAGATGTTTTGGCCTACAACTATCTCCATACATTGGCTATGCTGACTGGAGCTTATGAGAGCTATAGTTCGAGAAATTCTGGGGGGCGCCAGGTTGCCTATGCATGTGCCAAGCCTCTAGGATACAGAGGTGGTATAATTTACCTATATTAAGAATGCAGCTGAAGGCTGAAGTTATTAGGGAAAATGTGCTAATGAACACAGTTGAGCTTTTTTCTGAGTAAACATGCTTAGGAGCATGCTGTGATCTTTAATAACGAGAAACTTCATCTCTAATGAACTTTCAGCTTCATTCAGGAAAGTTTCGTATCTTTTCCCAAGAAGGCTAAAGAGAAAATACCCCATTGATTTCCTAGATTTTTTTTAAAGCTGGCACATTGGAGGCCTCATTTGTGTGTTTTGGTCATGCTTCCATGCAGTAGGTGGATCGGGTAGGGAATGCATTTCAGCCTTACATCCCAGGCGGTACCTAGTCCTCTGTCGGGTTCAGACTCATAACCTCCTAACATATTGTCTTTGGACAGTGCCAAGAAGAAGAAGATGGCTGACAAGATTCTACCTCAGCGGGTGAGTGGGACATCCGGCATTTGTGATCTGTTGTGGTTGCCAAAAGTGGTGGGCACCCTAGTTGACCCTGGCTGTGCTCTGTTCCAGATCCGGGAACTAGTACCGGAGTCTCAGGCGTACATGGATTTGTTGGCGTTTGAGAGAAAGCTGGACCAGACCATCATGAGGAAGCGGCTAGATATCCAGGAGGCCTTGAAACGACCTATTAAGGTAACAAGGAAACACACCTTTCCTACAGCAGTAGGGAATAAAGTCAGCTTAACCAGTGAGGTGGAAGTAGAGATTATTCTGCAGTCTGCCATTTACTCAGCTGCCAGGGTGCATTTGGGCCTGGGAATAGCTGTGTTCCTTGCTTGACTTCTGCAGGCTGGGATTGCTACTCAGAAAAGAAATTCCATAGTCCTCCAATGATACAGTTCACATTAGGTTACAATAATAAGCAAACAAAGCCTGCATTTTCCAGTATCGAAGCCTCCCTTAGCCCCACCTTAAACATGTGCAAGCAGCCCCTCTCGGACTGTATGCAGCCCCCAGCTCAGTTTCCAAAGCCTGTGCAAGCCACCAGTTTGGACCTCTGGCAAGAGTGATCAGCACCCTTCCATCCACCTGCTGGGTGTGGAGAGGCAGAAGGGGATGGCAGAAAGACAGGGAAAGAAAGCCTCATCCTCGCTGGTTGCAGCCCACCTACAACTAGCTGGTGCCCCCAAGCGAAGGTGCAGGTTAGCAGAAAAAGGGCTCCCCACCTTTGTTTTACTCCCTTGACTTCCTGGGCCAGCAACTAGGGAGTTGTTCCCTCCTCCCATTGCAGTAATATCTGGATCAGCCTCCAAAGGCCCTCTTGTTATTGTGGACTCCAACTCCTGTTAGTCTCAGCTAGCATGGCCAGTGGTCAGGAATGCTAGGAGTTGTAGTCCAAAACATTTAGAAGGCAACCAGCTGGAGAAGGCTAATCTTGAGGAAGGAATTCCATAGGTAGGGCAACTGATGTGTCTCCATGCCCAGAATCATCTTCCTTTGAAGTATTTCCTTCTGTGTTGCCACTGAAATAGGTAGAAGCCACGGTGAAGCAGCTTCTGTGCCACTCTGACAATGTATGAATCACACCTTACCATCTACCCTGCTTTAATAAATGCTAATTTTTAGCAAGATTTCTTACACAGTGTTTATTTTTGTGTACAGATCTTAGTGAATATATTAAAGTGAAATTGTCTATATCTAAACAACTATTTTTTTCAGAACCAGGATGATATTCTTGATTTTTCTGAATGTGAGTACACAGAATCTAGTGAAGCATTTAAAGACAACACACATACAGTGGTACCTTGGCTCACAAACTTAATCTGTTCCACGACTCTGGTCATGACCCAAATTGATCATGAGCCAAGTCAAATTTCCCCATAAGGTTCAATGTAAATAAGGTTAATCCGTTCTGTAAATATATATATTTTTAATCAGAAAAATGTGAAGCAAAGTTTGTTTGTTTATATCCTGCCTTTTTCCTACAAAGGGCTCAAGGCAGCTTACATTGTTCTCCTCCTCCATCTTATCCCCACAACAACAACAACCCTGTGAGGTAGGTTGGGCTGAGAATCTGTGATTGGCCCAAAGTCACCCAGTTGGCTCCATGGCTGAGCGGGGACTAGAACCCGGATTGTCTGAGTCCCAGTCCCATGCTCTTAACCACTACACCACACTGGCTCTCCTAAGTGACAAAGAACAACAAAGATTGGGGCCATCTCCCCCCTCCCCCGAACCAATCGTGGCCATAGATAGGCATTATCACAGGGACGGGGGGAGACAGGCACGATCGTGGGCATGCTCAGGGAGGAGACAGGCACGATCGTGCTGGGGGGGAGATGGCCAAGATTGTGGTTATGCTCATGCAGGAAAGACGGGTGCAATCACGGGCGCACTCGTGCAGGAAAGATGGGCGCAATCTCGGCCATCTCCCCCACCCCCAGCTTGATTGCGCCTGTCTCCCCACCCCCCTGAGCACAACTGTGGTTGCACCTGTCTTCCCTACACGAGTGCAACCGTGATCGTGGCCATCTCCCCACTCGGCGGGTGGGGTGGGGAGACGGGTGCAATCGCAGTCGTCACTGGATGCAGAGTTCACGACCTGAGTCAAAATTTTTATGAAGTTTTTGTTCACGACCCTATTCGGTTGTGAACTGAGGCGTTCATGAGCCGAGGTACCACTGTACTTTAGAAATGTCTCTGGCATGGGAGCCTTCCTCTGATGCAGAGATAAGCATTAGTGAAGACAGAGAGGCTGCCTTTTGCTGTGGTGTGTGGTTTCCTTGCAGTTATCAGACTGCTGGCAAGGAGTGGGGTTATTCGTTCTCCGTTTCATGTCCACTGGATGTTACTCCTTTTAGCAAAAGCGGAAGCTGCGCATCTTTATCTCTAATACCTTCAACCCTGCCAAGTCGGATGCAGAAGATGGGGAAGGCACTGTGGCCTCCTGGGAACTCCGGGTGGAGGGCCGGCTACTAGAAGATGTAAGTGCAAAATGGAATTCGCTTCTCCACATAGCAGGGGTGGGCAGCTTGTGGCTCTCCAGAAGTTTCAGCCTGCAGCTCCCAAGGTCCATCCGTCATACTGGCTAGGGCCAATGGGAGTTGCTTCTCTAGACGGTGTGCAGATGTATCTCAAGTGCAGCATTAACAGCTGGTGTTCTTGGAACTCGTTGAGCTCAAGAGCAATTCTGAGGATGGTGTTCTTTCTTAAGATAAACCAGAAAGATGGCTTAGGCTAATGCTTTTAATCAAGTGTAGAAGCACAGACAAACAAGCTTTGCAAGGATGTTCATGTGGCTACTTGCCTGCCTAGAGCCAGGTAACCCCTTATCTACTCAGAGAAATCTCTCTGCCACAACTTAGCTCTTCTTTGAACCCACAAACAGCCAGGGGTTCTGCTAATTGGGGTTGGACAGATACACATACTTTACTTTGAAGAGTGGAGGTTGCTGATTGGTACTTTGGAGTGCTCTGAGACTTTGCTTTTAATTAGAATTGGTCTCACAATCTTTGAAGCCATGTCAGCTCTTTTTGGATGGTTGTATGTGCCAATTTTATATGAAACTGATATGAAGTTGACATATGCCTAACCTTTTCAAGTGACATAAGATCCAGTATCTTAAAGAAGCCCTCAGCTGGCACTGCTTAGTTGTGTCAGGGCAGGAAAGGGTGCTGTGAAGCACTAGAGATGTGAATGGGCAGTGCCCTCGGCATGGTTTTTGGCTCTAGGAGAAGCAGTTGACAAGAACAGTGATACAAACTGCACTTTCTCATATCCTCCCCTTCCCTAAAGAAAGCATTCAGTGTCCATTGAGGAATGGCTCACAGCTCTCTTTTGTTTTGGAGTCTGAATGCTATGTGTGTTAGCTGTTGGCAGTGTTTCTGGAAATGTAATCTCCCTTTTTTCCTTTCCTGTAGTCAGCTCTCTCCAAATACGATGCCACCAAGCAGAAGAGAAAGTTCTCATCATTCTTTAAGTCTCTGGTGATTGAATTGGACAAGGACCTCTATGGCCCAGACAATCACTTGGTGGAGGTAAGAGGATATGATATGGCTGTGTGTGGACAGATTATGAGGAAATGAGAAACCCACAGCACAGCGGAGTTCACATACAAAAAAGTCCTGGGCACTTACACAGTTCTTAATAGTATTTCTCTATTTTTACCCTGCTTTTCCTCCAAAAGAGCTCAAGGCAATGTACATGGTGCCATCTCCTCCTTCCTCCTACCCTGCCTTCAATCGCAAATAGTCTTGGACAATGGGATCACACAGCAAGGTTCATGGCAAGGGTTTGAACTCAGATCTCCCTGCTCCAAGTCTGACACTCCTGTCTGAACGCCATGCTGGTTCTCCCAACACCTGCCTCTTCCCACATCCTCTCTTTGCTTCCTCTAGTGGCACAGGACTGCGACTACCCAGGAGACAGATGGCTTCCAGGTGAAAAGGCCTGGCGATGTGAATGTGCGCTGCACGGTCCTCCTGATGTTGGACTACCAGGTAGGACAGAACTCCTCCATGAGGGTCAGTTGAAGGACATAGTGACTGCGAGGCAGTGGGAGCCGTGGTCGAATGGAGACCAGCTGATCTTTCGTTCTGCTCAGAGTTTCCCACTGGCATTTATCATATTTATCAAAAAATTATTTTCCCCTAAAATGAATTCATGTGAGCAAGTGATGATTTAATTAGTTTTCTCCCACCCCTTAAAAAAATGGTCTCAGGGATATTTTTCCTAGGTTTTTCCCTCTAGATTTTAGGTCTTACAAGTTGTTCATATGTTGTTACCTTCCTGCAGCCTCCCCAGTTCAAACTGGACCCACGTTTGGCTCGCCTCTTAGGGATCCATACCCAGACACGCCCGGTGATCATCCAGGCACTCTGGCAGTATATCAAGACTCACAAGCTGCAGGACCCCCATGAACGGGAATATGTCATTTGTGACAAGTACCTCCAGCAGGTAAATGAGTGGCACAGGCCTGGGTGCCTCGAGTCGGGCTCTCTGTACTGCTTGTTTCACTTTCTGTTTCCACCTGCAGATATTCGAGTCTCAGCGAATGAAGTTCTCAGAGATCCCGCAGAGGCTGCATGCGCTGCTCATGCCTCCCGAGCCAATCATCATCAACCATGTCATCAGGTGAGACCACGGCATGAGGCTTGGAAATTGTGGCTGAGCCACAAGACTGCCATGGGGTATCCTCTGAGCCTTGATTTATACCTCAAACATTGCTAGAGCATAATGTCTATTTTCAGTAGTAATTCTTCCTTCAAGTTATGCTGTAGGAGAATATGTTGAGGCCAGTATTTCATTCTGTGTTTCTGGGTGTGGATAAGTGCCAACTAAAAATCCTGCTTGCAAAAAATGGCCTTAATTTGGGAAACTTGTAGACTGCTGTCCCTGTGATCTCCAGCCGCAGGTTCGGGCTCCCATGCTTTCCCCTTTGTTTTTCTTCCCCAGCGTTGATCCAAATGATCAGAAGAAAACGGCTTGTTATGACATTGATGTGGAAGTGGATGATACTCTGAAAACGCAGATGAATTCATTCCTGCTCTCCACAGCCAGCCAGCAGGAGATAGCTGCGCTGGATAACAAGGTGCGAGCCTGCCCAGGCGGCCTGTGCGCAGCAGCCAGCAGGATCGAGCCCTGATCGCTTTGTGAGGTGTCTGAGAAAGAGCACACCCCGCTCCCACCAGGCCTGCAGCAGCAGCCTTTTAAAGCTGTTGGGGTGCAGTCAGGGAGATCCAAGGGTCATTGTCAACACCCATTCTAATAATAATAATAATAACAACAACAACAACAACAACAACCGTGCTCTGGAGCAGGAAGCTTTGCCCCTCTCCACCGTGCAAAACAGTGTTAGAAAAAGGAACAAACGTTAGTACAACGTTGAGCAAGTTAAAGAAGGTGGTGAGGCTGGCACCTTGCTTTGATTGCCGTGCCACACCAAGCAGCTTACTGCTCACCCTTACGCATGTCTCTGCAGAAGTGCCTCCCATTCAGTTCAGTGGGGCTTACTCCCAAGTAAAGGCATAATAGGATTGCATCCTCAGTCTTAAAGCTTCTGTGGCTTCCCATTGCTTTTATTTTTGAATGCGTCATATTATCCAGGGCCTGTAGACATGCTGCATAACATTGGACCATATGACAACCCTGGTGGTTTTCCTTTGGAGCACAGAATAGCTGGATTAGGAACACGTATATTTTTGTTGTATCTGTATAAGAATATATGCTACCCTAAACCCTTTTATGCATGGTTGTAACTGAGCTATGAAACTACCCATCTTAACTTCAAAATCTTGATAAACCGCAAAAGGGTTCAAGGAGATGCCTTTTCACGGTCCCTCGGTACATCTGTAGTGGACCTGGAGTTAACCTGGACTTCCCAGATTTTGGCCTACAGTCAGCCTTTCCGCATCCCTGGGAACGCTGCCCAGTTGCAGTCATTAAAGGCCGAAACAAAGCAGATTCTTGGTTAGCAGCATTCCAGCTCTGGGGCAGTAGCTGAGGCTCTAACACTTTATCCGGGACAGAGAAAGCTTATAAGGATGATGCATGTGGAGGGTGTGACACATTTGGGTCAGCCATAAAGTTTGCCAGCCCTGTTGTGTTTTTCTTTAATGTCACTATCCCCCTCGACTTAGTTTTCTTGCATATCTGTAAGTCTGTTTAACATAAGGCTCACTGTGCCTAATGCAGCTTTTTCCCTTGTTAAGTATGTTTGAATTTACACTGATAATGTCATTTCAGTTCCTTCTTGGTAGGAGCAGGGTGCACTTTGTCGTTTTCTTGTTTTCCCCGGGCAGAAATGCTTGCTGCAATTTTGTTTCATTGTTTATTTAATCAATATGACTTGGTGCAGCCAGGCCCAGATATATATCCCATTAGCAGCTTGATCCCATTGACTGAGTTAGCAGAGGAGTCGGGATTTGAGTTGTCTTGCCCTGAAGCTATACTACTAAAAAGATTTCTAAGAGTGCAGTTCTAGGCATGTTTGTTATGCAACGGAAAAAGTCTTACAACTGTCGGCATTCTTGACACTTGGTCACACTGATTCGGTTTGATGGGAGTTGGAATCCAAAAGATCAGGGGGCCACAGTGTGGAGAAAGATTAAAAAACGTGCAGTACCAGAGGAGAGGCGAGACAGCTGCCACAAAAACCTGTAACACAAGTATATCTTACGTAGATGTGGTTTGCATTAAAAGAGAGTAATAGGGAACAAACCTTGACTGACCCCAGGATCGGATGTGGACAGTGGTTCCTCTTCGTGTGCTTTCCAGTAGCAGGTGGCATAAATTTCAGCCTGTATGGGTGCCCAGTAAATCCCACTTTCTGCCACGTGGAGTCGCATGCTTCTCCCAGTGTTTTGACATGGCATGTCTTCATTTCAGATCCATGAGACCATAGAAACCATTAACCAGCTGAAGACCCAGCGGGAATTCATGCTGAGCTTTGCCAGGGACCCGCAGGGCTTCATCAATGACTGGCTGCAGTCCCAGTGCCGCGACTTGAAGGTGAAGGGGGGAATATCTTTGGAGGAGAGTCCCCATGCGGCTCCTCTGGCTCTGTGGGGGAGGCCATGTGGACCCCCTCCGCCAGTCCAAGGGCTGGCACCTGAACAGCAAGTTGCAGCGCTACAACACTTGCTGGTGTTTCCACGCAGGGCTATCTTGGCTCAGGAAGGGGGAACTGAATAACCTGAGGCTCTTTCTCATCTCCAGGCTATGACTGACGTTGTGGGGAATCCAGAAGAGGAGCGCCGAGCTGAATTCTACTTCCAACCGTGGGCTCAGGAGGCTGTGTGCAGATACTTCTACTCCAAGGTAGACTGTCCCATCCCATGGGCTCCCTTCTGTAAATACTGAGGTGAACATGCTCCCATCTCTTCCCAGGACCAGGGAAAGTCACCGCCTCGGCTTGGTCCTGCTTGCCCGAGCCCCTCGGGCTGTGTCCTGTGGAGCACTGGACCCTTTTCATGGCTCTGCAAGCCACAGAGGCATGGCAGCTCAGAGCCAATTCTATTTTGTGTTTCACATTTCAAATCGTGTGCTGCTTTGGTGCAGCTTTCCCTTGCAGACGATCATGAGACTTGTGGTCCAAGCCACCTGAGGGGATGAGGCTGGGAACGCTGCTTCAGGGCCTGGAGACCAAGTTAAATGCTTGGTTTCAGCCTCTGGTAGAAGAAAGGCCCTGTATGATCTGCAGTATTCTTTGATGCTGCTTTTTGCCAAGCCTCTTGCTTCCTACTGCCAGACTTGTGGGTTGCTTGCACCAGGGACTCTGTACTAAAACTGTCCTTCTGGCTTCCCTCACAGGTTCAGCAGAGACGGCAGGAGCTAGAACAGGCTCTGGGGATCCGCAACACATAGATAGGCCTGTCTCTCCCCGGCCAGCAGATCCAATGACTTCCAAACACACTGCAGGGATTCACTGCTCAGGCCTCTACAGTTCCCACTCCAGCACAGAACCTACCACTCTCTTACCGCCAGCATCATCTCTTTCTGCTGCTCTGGTCCCGTCCTCACGGGGATGAAGTGGGCAGCCAGACCAAAGGTCTTGCATTTCAGCCTGGCCCTCCTTCCTTGACTGGTTGCCTTTAGAGCCCCCGGGCTCTTCTGTCCTGGCTCTAGCTGAAGCTCTGCCACTTCTGGGACAGCTTCAGTTGAGGGCCTTGCAAGCTCAGGACCTCCTTAGGATCCCATCCTGCTCACCCCCAGCGCTCTGGGCTCGACGACTCTTCCACACATCAACTCTAGATCTTGCCAGGCGGGCGCAGTCTGGGCCTGTTCAGTTTACTGCAGGGCCTGGGGGACAGCCACCTTTGGATGCCTGCCAGCCTTTCAAGGGGTGAGGGATGAGGTGCATCCCTTGGCCCTTGAGAGGTGGCCTGTCCTCCTGCGTGTGGCTTCCTCTGGGAATGCCAATGCAGCAAAGTTGGCAAAGAGCAGCGGGACCACAACAGTCATATCAGTCTGTCTCGATCTGGGTGTGAATTTTTAAAGACAGTTTGCATGCAGGCTGGCTGATAGAGCTGCCTGGTAAGGCCCTGGGCCGCAGTGACCACCCCAGACCGCTGCCTTGGCAGGGCCGAAGCATCTCCATCCCAGCCCCGTAGCTGCTCTTCTCTTCCATTTCTTGCACCATTCTCTCGATCCACAGAAGTCGGCAGAAGGACACTGCCAGGCTCTCCTTTTGTCTTCCTCACCTGACTGGCACAGAGCAGGTTTCTGGAGCAGGTTGTAGGGTGGGGAGTGGAGGTAAGTCGGCAGGTGGCTTGTCCTGAGGAATTGCAGCCTAGATGCTGCACGGCTTCCTTTCTGTCCTGTGTTCCTGGGCTCGGGCACTTGCTGCTTCGGGGGGTGGGGATGGGGTGCCGCTGCATCTTCCGGGGTTTGTAGTGCAGCTGGATGGGTCCCAGCTGCTTATACTGTTAACACTAGCTGCAAAAATCACATTACTGACAAGTCCCCTTCCTCTTCTCCCCGGACGAGACCGGGGCCTGCTATGAATTCAGGAGTCCCAGTGGCCCCAGTCCCTTTACATGTGTGTGTCTGTGCGTAGGGGTGTGTGCACACGTGTGTGTCCACATTAAGAGTGAGAGACACTACCCTTCCTGTCTAGTCCTTCCCATATAAAAGATCACCTCGCCCCTATCCCCACCCTACTCCTAACCTGCTTTACGGTGCCAGGGAATAGAGCCCTGGTGCTTTCCGTAGCTGCCACAGGCTCTCGGGGCAAGTATAGATGAAGGAAGCTCAGAGACTGACCGGCTTGGCAAAATCTAGCTCTTTTTAATTGCTCCTTGTTAAGCTTTGTGTTTTGTGGTTCCCTTCCTCCCCTTCCTCCCTCGGACCAAATTTTTTTTGTACTGTATCCTTTTAGATGTTGCCCCATTTTAATAAAAGCTTCCTCTGAAAGAAGGTCTTCTCCATCATTTCGTACTGGGCTGCACTGCCAACTTTCCTTTATATGCCAGGGCGAAAGGTAGCATGTGCAAACACGTGTGGGTAGCCATGCCCAAAGTTGTTTCTGCAGAACGCTGAAACGCCTCTTCAAGGCCTCCCTTAGGCTTCCTGCAAGACTTCTTTGCACAGACAAGGAAAACCCTCTTTTCAGTAGGTTGTTTGAAGGGAAAGAATATGCCCGGCAGACCTGGAAAACCCTTAGGTTGATTTATGCATGTTTAAGTATTATTCAAGCTAACATTCGAGTTGGTTTCCTGGTCTGTCACATTTATGTTCCATCTTCCTTCCAAGGAGCCCGAGGCAACCATCATGTGAGGCGGGTTAGAATGAGAGTCAGTCACCAGCCCAAAATCAGGCAGATTCAATGCCAGGCAGTGCATTCCTGCTTAGCTGTGCCACCTCCCTCTTCTTGAGGCACTTAGCCTTTTAAAGGCAACAACTTGGAAGTTTTCCATTTGGGTCAGGGCATCCCTTGAAAAGCCAAATCTTGCATCTGTATTTGGATTATTTCAACATTCTGCCACCCATGGGATTGGAAAGCATTTAGATTGCTGGAGGTGATAAAGCTACAAGAACACAATTCACAGGCAGGAGTAAATCAGGCTAGGTGAGCAGAGATGAAGCAATGTGAATTGTTGGAAGTTTGAAGAAGGAATCTGCTGGATCCATAAGCCAGTGTGGTATAGCGGTTAGAGTGTTGGGTTGGAAGATCAAGGTTCCAGTCTTGGCTCAGCCATGTAGCGCACTGGGCGACTGCGGGCCAGTCACTCACAGCTAACCTACCTTGTAGGGTAGTTGTGAAGATAAAAAGGAGAGGAGACTCTTGTAAGCTGCCTTGGGTTCCTTGCAAGACAAAGAAAGGTGGGCCATAAATGTAATTCAATAATAAGGAAGACAGCGTGGACTGAATGAAGGACATCACATTTAAGCCTAGAAATGTCCTCAACTGGGCCTGATGGTCATCTGATCTAACCCTTTGCAGTCAGGCAAGACGTAGGCCTGTATCACCTACAGTAGAAATACCTTGTCTACATAAAGGTTCACCAAATGGAATGTACCACTCCAGCCTGCTATTGCCAAAATTTGCATTATTGATTGCCCCTTCCTTGGTATTAAAAAAGCATGCAAACAGAAAGTGACTGCCACGAACAAAAAGGTATAGAACTTTCTCCCTGATGTGTAAGCCCAGCTTTCGCCCCTGCATGTAAGTCCAGCCTGTGTGCCACTGGCAGATGGGGGCGGAAGGAACTGAGGGGCTAGAATGAGGTTTCTTGAAGTAACAGAGCAGTGCAGCAAAGCCAACAGTGGTCGGTCATGTGATTTAAAAGTCCCATAGGTATAAACTGCTGATTTTGGACCAGATGTGTATTTTGTGAAGAAAGGCATGGACAGAAGCAGGTCTCTGTTCTATATGACACTGTACAAGGAATCCCTCTTACAGGTCCAGTCCCCCATGTAGCTACTTGCCTGGCCTAACCTAGTCCACATGACCACTGAGAACATAATACAAGGGCACACCTCATGATCACCTGGGCTAGATGAGGCTGAGAGATAAGTGACTGACCTGAAGGTCACCTAGCGAGCGTCATCCCTGTGCAGTAATTTGAATCCAAACAAGCACAGCACCCTCTTTAAAATTGTTGGCAGAGTTAGCAAGAACAGGCCCCAGCCATTGGGGTTGGGAGTTCTGGATCCAGTTTATCATTGTCAAAGGTGCCTACCCAGAAGGTCACCCTCTCTCAACTTGGTATGTTACTGACTGAGGATGATGTGAGTTGTAGTGAATGTCCCTGAGCAGAAAGCATCTGGTTTGGGAAGGCTACATTGGGCAGACAAGCAGAATGATGGACTGGGGCCAGTTGTGTTTGGAGATCAGCAACCCTGAGCAGTAACAGTTAATCTTTGATCAAGGTCAAGGCCATCCATCTCTTTAAAATGTGCATTAACTTTCAACTGCAGTTGCTGTGGGGGAGAGAGCTGAGATGAAACCCTCCCTATGCCTCATGATTTTTCCTACAAGAAGTTGCTTTATACCAGGGGTCTCAAACTCAACTTACCTGGGGGCCACTGGAAGTAGAGTCTGGGTGAGGCTGGGCCGCATCAAGTATTCCAACACCGCGGTGGTGGTGGGCCGCTCATCCCACGGCCGGCCCAGGCGCCGCCGGCACTTTGAAGGCCGCAGGGCCCCTCCCCCGTGCCCCGGCAATGGGCCCGCGGGCCGCGAGTTTGAGACCCCTGCTTTACACCATATTAACTGGCATTTTTATTCACTAAGCAGGCTGAGCTCTTTAGTCCATCAGGGGATGTTTCCTAGCCAGTGTAGCTTCTGTATGTTTTACCCATTTGGGTCCCATTCTCTGTCAACTCAAGCCTGAGCAAAATGCCTCTCCTTTCTGCAAAGCAGATAACTGACTCATTTCTGGCCAAAGCATGTCCACCGGCAGTACAGCATACAAATTAAGTGGTTGCAACACATGATGTCTTTTTACATAGCAAATTAGCTTAGAATGAATCACAAAAGCCAGGTCTGATGTGAAATTTTGCAGGCTGTCCCATGCAACACACCTAGGCAGGGTCATCTGCTTCTCTTCCTGCACCCCTTTCAGTGCAAGGCAGCTAAAGGTTGGGATTTCAGTAGCAGACAAACGCCTAGCCCTGAACCTCTTCTAGAAGAGTGTGTCACCCACATACCACAACATTTGCTGAAGTATTAATGTATGAATAAATTTGTGGGAGTAGGGGACTCTAACCCTTTTTACTATAATGTGGATGCACTTTAATGGAAGTGAGGAGGTTATCAATCCTGACAAACAATATAGGGTGCAATCCTATGCATGTTTAGATAGGAAAAAGTCCTACAATACCCAGCATTCCATAGCCAGCATGTCAGGAGGAGTCTTTTCTTCCCAAATAGGCATAGGACTGTGTCTTTAAAGGACCAGCCAACTTCTTTGTCCACAGTGTCAAAGTCAAATTTACCATTTTAAGAGTGGCTGCATTGCAAAGTCCAGCTCTTTCCCCCTCTCTGGCTTTTGCAGACTCTGAACAGCAGCAGCCCAACAGCCCTGCACATCTGCAAAACATTCTTCACACAGCCCAGTGTCTGGACTCCTGGTTTGGAGCAGAAATTCCAGGGCTGAGCCCTAGCTCAGAGTAGGCCTTGACTTTTGATTCATATGCCTGCAATGTTGGGTGGCAGCACCCTTTTGCTGTGACCCTCCCGCCTAGAGCTGGCATGAGCTCCTGCCAGATGTCCTCCAGCTGCCATGGACTGTTTACTTGGGATTACATCAAGCCTGTTTCCCAATTGTGCAAATTCCTTTTTCAAAGTGCTTCTCCCTCAAAGGTAACTAATATGGCTTGGCTCCCTCACACTCTGATTATGAAGACACAAAGGGTTCTGTTGATTTATCAGAGTGTTTTCTCTGGGATTATGAACTCCTTTTGGTGCTCCAGATGCTCACTTCTTTGCAAAAGCTCTGCCTGCTGCTCTCACCCTGAGCGGACAGCTGTGACCCATGTCCCATTGACTTCCTATCTTGTGGAGAGCAAGAGAAGCCCTTTGCTTCTCTTCTCTTTCCACCCTGCACTTTGCTATCTGAGCCCGCAATAACCTGTGTGGGAGATTCACTGTGGTAATAATTGTGCAAAGACCCTAATGGTTGTCTAGGAATGGGTTGAGCCGTGGAGATGGGATTTATACAAGGGCATACAATGCAACCTTGGACAGTCACTGAATTTTAAGACTCCAGTACAATCACTGTCACTGAGTATGTAGGAAGGTCATTTAATCCTGGGGAAATTCCTAAATGGTGCAATCTGGGAATCAGTTAAAATCGGAATATTTAAGCCCAGCTGCAGCTCAACTTTGTGTCTGAGAAGATGTTCAGTGTGGCTTTCTCTCAGGTAATTGTTCTTATGAACATAATGAGAAAAACAAGAAAAATAGCTTCATCAGCATTTGCATCCTAAATTCCCATTGTCTGAAACAGAATTTCCAAACAAAGGTGCATGAAGCCCCATCCTGAAAACCCATCCTTGATTGCAAGTTTCCATTTAAAAACTTCCAAGCTTTTTGGCCTAAATTTGCCGAATATACTACAAGTAAGCTCTTACTCCATAAAGAAAACAGCAGTCTGGAATTTACAAGGGCTGCACAGGGCTGTCACAGGCAGGATATCTGGAGTCTTTAATTCACAGGGTCGCAGTTAGTCGGGGGCGACTTGACGGCACATAGCAACAGTGGGGTTGATCATGATAAAGAAGTTTTTGGTTCGATTACCGGTCGCTCGCTCATGAAAGTGGCGCTGCTTTTGCAACAGCAGGTGCCATGAAAGGGGTGGGCTTCCGCAGCTCCGTCCCGGTCCCGGTTCAGTTCGAGCTTTAGCGGCGCAGCCCGCCCCCCTACCCCAGGCCCGTCGTATCGTTCCTCTCTGATCGCAGCAGTCGCCCCCTGTCTTTGCTCTCCCGGAGGCGCTTTGGCGAGGAAGGGGTGGAAGGGAGGCGTGGCCGGGCCGAGGCGAGGAGTTTATAACGCCTCTCCGGTGGGGAGCGAGCGAGCGAGTGGGCGCCTGCCAGGCAGTCAGTCCAGATGGGTGGAAAGAAAGTTTGTATCGTGGGCTCCGGCAACTGGTGCGTGCGCACGGGATGGAGCTGGAGCTCCAGCGGGCAGGGCGGCTCTGGCTCGCCGGGGGAGCGGAGAGGGAAGGAGCCGGGACGGGGAAGGCTGTCGCCGTGTTGCAGCTTCTCCAGGGGTGGTTTCGGGCAAAAGGAGCGAAAGAGGCTGGTGGCGCCCTGAAAGTCGCCGTGCGTCTTCTGGCGCAGCGTCAGCTTTCGGGGCTGCGTCCCGTTCGACTCGGGGCAGCGTGCGTCTCCTGCAGATACAGCGGGCCCTCTCCAGAACGACCCGTGCACCCGTCGAGGCGGGCAGCGCTGCCGCCAGGATCAGGGCGCCGGGCTTGAAGCCGCCCCGGGCTCTTGCTCGCTTTTGCTGCCCCCTCGGGAAGGCGCGCGCGCCGCTCTGCCCGCTCGCCCCGCTGCGGGGGCGCTTCGAAGGGGCCCGGGGGGGGGGGCGGAATGTGCGGGAGCCCCTCGCTGTGAGCGGGGTGGGGGCGATCTCGGGCCTCGGTGCGGTCGCAGGTGGGTTGCTGGGACGGACATTGTCGCATTTCTATCCTGCCTCTTTTTCTCTTGCCGAAGGCAGCTTAGAGGATCCTCTTCCTCCTCCTCTCCATGTTCGTCCTCACAACAACCCTGCGTAGCAGGTCAGCTCACCCACAGACACCCAGTGAGTTGCAAGGCTGTGTGGGAACCAGAACCAGGCCCACTCCAGCCTCCGAGCTGCCACATCGCCCTGGTGGGCTACCGTTAGCCACCCTTGAGTGGCAGAAAGGATGCCCCAGAGGCAAACGTGGCCACACTGACTCTCTTGCTACGAGGGGGTGTGGGGTCAGCATCTTCTGCTTTCCAGCCCTCCTAGGTAGAGGCACTTAGACTTTGCATTGGGTCATGCGAGCCTTTCCGCTGCAGGGTGGTGACAGATGCCCTGGGAAAGGAGCACCCAGCACGCGAAGCTAGAATGATGGCGCTCGGCCAGCCCATTTCTGGCACGGCTTTTAGCAGCGACCCCTTGACAGGGAAGGCCGTGTGCATATGCAAGCCTGCACCTCCCCGCTTGCACCACAAATCCCCTTGATACTTTCTAATGCTTTCCATTGCAGCTCTGTTTTATCCAGGTGTGCGTCTTCCTAGCTCCAGTTGTGTTTGTCTGCAACTCCCAAGCATCCCATGATCACTGGGCATGCTGGTGGAGGATGGTGGGGTCTGTATTCCAACACATCTGGTGCACCCCAAGCTGGCTGAGGCTGCAGGCTTAAGAACTGACTTTCCGAGCCAAAGCTCAGCTGCAGGAACACCTGCTTCAGCAGGTGCAGAGTAGCTCCCCCAACCACCAAGAAACTGCAGAGAAGCTCCTCAACTTCCACCTTTCAGGGTTAGAGCTCCAGTGCCTCCCATTCTGGGATATCTACCTCTGGAATAACTGTTGGTATTTCCAAACACTTGGATTTTTCTGGGCCGTTTCCAGAGGGATCGCTGTGCTCGTCCGTTGCGGCTGATACAGTATGTCATCATGTGGCATATTAAAGACTCACAGTTACGATGGTGTTTGAGGACCAGAGCCCGCTTCATCAGAGGCATGCCTGCCAACTTAGTGGAAGGCACCAGGCAATGGACTCTAGTCCACCAAGTTTGTACCAGAATGAATCTGTTTATTGGCCTTTGAGGTGTCATGAGTTGTGCAATGTTATCACATGCCTCCTTGAAAGGATGGAGGGGCAGAGGATAAAATATCTTTACACTGGATCCTAAGAATGTAGCACTTTGATTTGGGGAAGTCTATTTCATGCAATGCATAACTAACTTATGGAAGTTGCTGCAGCGTCACGATGGCTAGCAGCTTAGATGACTTTAAAGGGGGATCAGAGAAGGGCATGGACAGAGAGGCCTACAAATGGTTACATGGGAGCTTCACATTCAGATCTAGTATAGCACTTCTAGGGAGATGGCACAAGGAAGGCAACTGTCAGCACACCCGGCCTGGGGGCTCCCCAGAGGCCAAACCACTGCATGAAAGAGGGTGTGGGAATGGATAGACCTGTGATTTGATCCAGCAGGGCGCGTTTTCTCAACACAGTCTGATCCTGAAAGCAAATTCTGCCTTTCCCACTCTAGCTAGAGTTCTGGATCTCCACTGAAAGCAACAAAATGTCGGGCCTGCACATGCTGTACCCAGCACAGAGGTAAGACCTTGACATTCTGGTCTAATTGCTGTCCTCCTCCTCTTCTCCTCTTGCAGGGGTTCGGCTATTGCCAAGATCGTAGGCAGCAATGCAGCCAAACTGGACAAGTTTGATACCACTGTGAACATGTGGGTGTTCGAGGAAGAGGTCAGTGGCAAGAAACTCACTGAGATCATCAACACGCAGCATGAGAACGTCAAGTACTTGCCGGGCCACAAGCTGCCAGCCAATGTGGTATGTCTGGGAGCTGGGAAGGGAAGCAAAGCTTTGTGTGGGCAGGTGCACATGGTATTCCAGATGGAAGCCACACGTCACTGTCCTTCTCCATGCCTGATCTTCAGCTTCTACCGCGTAGCACAGAATCAAGGATTGGATTCCGCTTGCTCAGGGCTAGAAAAATTCCTTGAGGGTTTTGGAGTATATGGATAATGGGAAGCCCCCCCTGGTCCAGTCAATTCCATCTAGGCAAGTGATGGGTCCGTGCAGTGCTGTGGTCCAGCGTGAATTATTTGGGTGCCTGAGGGAGAATATTTAGAGCTTGCCAACTGCAGTGCTGACTTATTTATTTATTTATTTAATTTATTTATTAAAACATTTCTATGCTGCCCCTTGCCGAAGCCTCGGGGCAGCTCACAACATCGAATAAAATACACTAATGTAAGCGACCAAAGAGCAAACTATTCCCCACCTTTTAACGGTCTCTCAGTATCTGCTTCAGCTTTTCATCCATCCATCCTTCCTCTTGCGAGGAATCCAGCATGGCTAACGTTGACTTCCTCCTCCCCATGTTAACCTCACGGGCATCTGCTAAGTGACTTCGGGCGAAGGCCCCGGCTGGCTCACGGTCACTCGGCACATCTTATGGCTGAGCGGGGCAGCACCTGCAGTGGAGGCAGGCCACCTCGCCCGCACACCCACAGGAGCCACTGGCCTGGCACGATTTCAGAGGGCCTGCAGCCCTCTGTCCAGGGCGTGCCTTCGGGCAGAAGTGGTACCTCATCAGTTGCCAATTGCTTGCAGCCCCACTTTCCTCCTCCTGTTGCTTTTCTTCAGCAAGCAGAGAAGCCGAGGTGGTTGCCGCATGCCCAGAATCTTAGGCACGTGCCCCATGGCCTGTTTGTGCCGACCTTGTTCCCACAGGTGCATTGGACTGCATCACCCATCATCCCAACCAGCACAGCTTTGGGGAGTCGTAGTCCAACATACCAGGTGGGCACCAGGATGGAGGAGGTTGGTTTGCTGGGACCATCTGCCGCTCTGCAGGGTCTCAGGCGAAGAGACGGTCTGCCCCTTTACCTGCTTCCCAGGTTTTTAAGCTAGGGGTACGCAGTATTTCAGCCCCAAGGTCTCGGTTGTGGGGCAGCCACCCTAACACAGCTGCACATGTGCGCACACTTCTCTCCACATCCGCATTTAAAGTGTCCCTCCTCCTGCAGAATTCAGGGGATGAGATGCTGTAGGGATCAACACCACTGTCTTCCTTTTCCCCTCTACACTGGGATTGCGCCGGGTGAGGGAGGGGAGCCTACAGTTTCCCAGTTGCTTTTGGCAGTAAGGAAACTGCTCCCTGTTCTGTCCCGCCCACATGTTGGCTGATTAGCCAAGCCGTGGGGAAGAGTGGGTTGGGTCCCTCGGGAGACCCAGAGAGTAGCGAGACCCCGTGGGACCCCAGGATGCTGGCAGCGCATCCGTCCTGCAAAATATGCTCCATCACTCAACTCTGGGATCATCCTCTTTTGGCTGAGAATGCTAAGCTTGAAGCTGTGATCTCAGATCTCCACTTCCCCAGATCAGTTGTTTATCCGGTACCCAAATACTGGCAACTTCTCTTGAGTTAAGGAATATTACAGCAGTTTCTTTAAAGCTGAAACGAGCCCTGCAGCCATCTGTGGGGCATGGCATGATCAGACCCCAATAGGAGCTGCACTTCTGCATAGCGCTATGACAACTGGAAGACCTTTTCAGCCTGTCTTTGGCTGAGCCAGGATCAATTCTGGGATCCAGTTACTGAAGTGGTCTTCTTTTTGGGAGGGGGTTTCTGGGCCTAACGGGAACACATGAGATGAACCCTCCCCATATGCTTCAAGCAGCTTATATTTGGCTAAAACAGGCTGAATGCTGGGAATCTAACTTAGTTCCCTCCCACATAACAGCAAACAAATGACTTTTTGTTGGAATCTTTCATGTTCTGGTGACTTTTTGAAAACGTGAATCAGTTCCAGCACCTGAAAATGTACAGCAAGGCGAACACACAAAATTTTCAGGCAGAATTAGGAGAAGGACAGAACAAAGAGTGGATAAAATAAGGAACAGAAATTATACACACACACACAGTATCTGTAGCATTCAACATGGTACACACATAGCTCAAAAAGCTATAAGCCTAATACATTGGTATATGGAGTGTGTGTGTGTGTGTGCGCAAAAGTGGGAGAATATGATAGCAGAAACAGAACAGTTTTAGGAGAGATGACATTCTGCCTGAAAAAGGAATATTTCTCTCACTAAGGTTGCAAGTGCTGCAGAGAGGGGCTGATCCATTCACTGGAGCTCCCCACAAAGGCATCAGCACTAGGCTTTCTGCAGGGCTCCTTAGCAGTCTCTCGGGGGCTTGGACAGCTGCCCTGAGAGTATAGTGGTGTCCTTGGGATGTGTGTGTGGGGCGAGAGAAAGAAATAGACAGTGGAAACAACATGGAGGGGGGCAGTGGTGGTAGCTGAACAGAGCCAGGAAGCACCATGCACCAGGGGCAGTGATGCACAGTGGTGAGAGCAGCCTTCCTAACCATGATGCCCTCTAGATGTGCTGCAGTGCAGTGCCCTCACTTCCATGGGGCTGTGCTGGCTGAGGATGCTGAGAGTCACCACTCAGCACCCACCTCTGGAGGGCAGCAGGCGGAGGAGGCTGGGCGAGGAGGCCTCCCTAGAAGTCACCGAAGCCGGGTGCAGATCGGTGCTCAGCCACAACGGGGCAAATGCGGCCTGCTTGCCGCCTCGCCTACTTACTGGGGTTGACCTGAGGAGAAGAGTCGTGCATAGGAGCCTGACTGCCATCAAGGAAGAGGGAGATCGAGCTGTGGGAACAAAGTGATGCCTCCTAGAAGCCCTGCAGATCTCCTCAGCCTCCGTGTGAGTGCTAAAGTATCCACTCAGTGCTTGCAAGCGTGCCCTTTCACCTGCTTACTCTGCTCTTGCACTTCTGCCCCAGCTTCCCTCCAAGGACCTCAGCACGGCCTCTCATGTTTTGTCTTGTTTTTGTTTAGCTTCGCAGCATGAGTGCCCAAGGCCACGCTGAGCGTGTCCTGGTGTGGAACAAAAACCGAGTCCGGCGTCTGCACTGCTAAGTGTGGTGCAGTGCTCAGAGTGCTGGCCTAGGGCTTGGGGGGTCTGGCTGCAGCTCTGCTTGGCCGTGGAGCTCACCGGGTGACTGTGGGCCAGCTACAGACTCTTACTGTAACCTACCTCAAAGGGTTGTCGTGAGGCTAAAATGGAGAAGAGCCCAACTTTGTAAAAGCCACTTTGTGTCCCTTGTGAGAGGAAGGCAATGCAATAATAATAATGGTCATAATAATGAGCCCAGGGTTCTAGTCATCCTCTGCAATGGGCCAGTTTTTGTCATGGAGGTGGAAAAAGAATTCACCGAATTCTTTCCATTGGAAATGTGCAAAATTCTCTGTCAGCAGCCGTTCCCCACTTGTAGTTTAAAATATTTGGAGGACACCAACTCCCAGGATTCCTGAGCACTGTCCATGCTGACTGGAGTTGATGGGCATGTATTTCCTTTGGGGAGAAGCCAGAGGGAAAGAGAGAGTTGGGGGAGGGGGGGATGGGAAGAGCCAGGTGCAAAGGGAGATGGGACTCCCGTATCATTAAGGGCAGTGTAGGAAAAGGGGCACTGCAGCAGATGGAGCTTCTATCAGTGCTACGATGTGAAAGCTAGTCTGCCAAAACCGCTCCTCCTTCCTCTCCAGGAAAGGCACCGAGGTCCTTCCTCCTTCCCCTGCTGCTGGTCCCCTGCTTAGAGGTGGGAGAAAGTTGGACATGCAATATCAGTGGCTCACAAGCATGGTCCAGCGTTGGGGGTTTCCGAGTCTGAAAAAGTTGATGACAGCAGGGCTGGGCCTCTTGCTCGTGTGTGACATTCTGGGTGGATTTTCTCCCTCCTGTCTCCTTCCTGAAGAAAACCTGTTAAGGAAGGAAAAGATGCCGTTGCTGCTATACAAAGGCTTCGGATTAGTACTGGTTGGATCTCTCCATCTGGAGCGACTCCTGCTTTGCTGAAAATAAAGCTGAACTATTCAGAATGCCAAACACTGTGCCATGTCTTCAGGTGCTCTGCTCCAGTGGGCCAGCCTCCCCCAGCCTAGCTGCTCCCGTGTTTTAGACTATAGCTCCCAGCATCCCTGTCCTCTAAGTGGGTTAGATCTTCTGGAATTCATCGCAAGGGCATGAGCTTGAGGGAAGCTGCAATACACCAACTGCTCATCACTCTGGCTGTTGGGATCAAAGGCTGATGTTTAGACTGACAGCCTCCTACCTTGGTGTTGCAGGTTACTCCTGCAATGCGTATTGGAAGAGTGCACAGCAAGGAGACCGGTGGCTGGCGGAAAGGAAATTAAGCCATCTCTCCAGGCTTGTTGCAAACTCACTTGCCAGTTAAGATCCATGCTGGCTAAGTGGGATTGGCCTTCCCTGGGAGCATGTCCTTTGCGGTAGCAGCCCCAGCGTTGCTCTCCCATTGAATCAAGAGCGATCTGCAGAACACCCTCATTTTGCTGCAAGACATTTTACACAGATTTCTGCGGCCACTGTCCTCCCGTGCCACAACTTCTACTCAGATGGTTTTTGACTGATTGCCATTCTCTCGTACACAAAAGATAAAAATCAAACATTTTGTGCATTTGTGTTGTGCCATAAATTGCTGTGGCATCTTTGATCAACCATCTTTTACAAATACTTTAAAATAAAGTTTTAAGATGCTTTGAGTTGAGCTGGCAGGATTGCAAGTCCCCCCCGGAGCAGATGTCCCTCCGCACCCTCCTTCCTGCTCCCCAGAACGCAGCAGGGCCTGCTTGTGCAGCTTCCAGCAGAGTGAAGATCAAGAAACCAGTCGCCTTGGTAACAAAGCAATAAATAACCTTCACGCTGCCTGAGAACAGCTCTTGTTTCCAGGTGCTTGGAGAGTGGCAGGAAGCCCATGCAGTGAATGCATGCTGGGTGAATGCAAGGAGCTGGGACAGTGCAGGGGTCCGTCTTGTTTGCTGAGGGAGCGTGGCACATGGGCTCCATGCAAGCGCCGGGATCCTGCTTTCTGCCTGCACCCCCCGCACTTGTCTGAAGGGCACCCTCTTAGCCCCCAGAGATGGATGCGCCACCAAGCCGGCTGGGCTTTACAAACTCTGGGCTTGGCCCTTTGTGCGGCCTCCGTGTCTCCCCTCTGTATATCAGCCAGAGAACACCGGTTATGGGGTGTTCTAAAAGCGTTCTGGACTAATGTCACCACTGGCGTATCGCTGCAGAGGTCAGTTTCTTGCTGGATACATGAGCTGAAATAAGAGCATGGCAAGCAGGAGAGGGGGAAAAAGGGCGAAACCTGATAGGATCGCTGGGGTAATATAATGGGGCTTGGATGCCTGTCCAAGGGAGGGCAGCCGCCTGCCTTTGCTGGGTGGTTGTGTTGCTGTGGGATACCCCTTAGGTGGGACGACGGCCAGAGGGTCTTGCTCAGAGGCGGAATACTCTGGCCAGAGGGCTGGCCCTCCTCTTACTGGCCTTCCTTGGGCACAGTAATGGGAATCAGACAAGTCACGTGGAGCGGTCGGGCTGGGAGGAGGACGCTTCCCTTGCTTTGGTTCCCTGCATTAGAGTGGCTGGAGTGTGTCCCGCAGCAATAGCGTCAACTCGACTACTTACATGATTGTTGCTACTGCTGAAGCAACATAAGCCTGCTTGCCATGCCCAAAACTATCTTGAAACAGTCAAACTGAATGGATGGTGAGAGTGTTAGACTGGGGTCCAGTCCCCACTTGGCCACTTTGGGCCGGACACTCACGCTCAGCCCAACCTACTCACAGGGTTGTTTTGTGAGGAGAAAGACGAAGATTGTGTAAACCAGCTTGGATTCCTTGCAACAGCAAGAGTATTCATACTTAAAGGAGAATTAACATGGCTCCCCTGCCTCCCATGCTGGACTCTTGGGGTATCTCTGTCCTTAGGATACTGGTCCAGGGCCCGGGTCAGAGCAACCTCCTTGCAGCTTGTCAGCCCATATATAATATGGTTGCTGCTGCTGCGTCACAGTAAAGGTTTCACAGATACGGAGCATGTGTGCTCGGAAGAGCTCATCAGGTTAGAGAGAGAAGGGCAGGTGCTGAGAACAAATGCAGCTACTAAAGATCAATTTGCCTTTCCAGCAAGTTTCCAGTATTCATTTTCCAGACTTGTGCCTTGCGCATGAACAGCTGGAGTCTTCATGGCTTCGTTTCCCTGAAAGTGGCAGTGCATGCAAAAGCTGTGGGTTGGCAGCAGGGGAGCGAAAGCTCTTTCAGAGGCAGAGTCGTTGGCCTAGGCTACACTCACGCAGTTCCTTTCGTCTGATGACTAAGTGGCACTTGTTTTCCAGACCATTTCATCTCCTTGAAACCTCCTTGAAACAGTCCTCTGAAACCTCTCAGCTCCCTTCCTGACCTGCAGTAGTCAGAAATGGATAGGACAGAAACGATGACGTGGCTGTCGGCATCACACCCCGACCACCATAAGGCTGCCACTTCCAGGATCTGGAACAAGTTGCAGGAAAGGGAAGGCGCTGAGTGAGCAGCTTGCAGAACAGCCTGTTCTCTCCACTGGATCCAGCGCCCTATGTGAATATGTGACTCTTTGGTTGCCCTGTGCTCAAAACCTCACTGGGAAGCACCCACAGTCAAGTCTTCTGAGGAGGCATACAAAAGGGTGGCATTTGGCACAGAGTACAGGATTTGGCACCTGATGATCCTTGCTGTTTTTCAAAAGCGGGGGAGGAAGGAAAATGAAAATTGAAAAAGGAAACACAAGCTTCTAGTACATATGGCATTTATTTTAAACCCTGCCTTTTTATCAAAAAATGGCACTTGGGGCAGTTTGCAAAACAATTTGAAATAGATTAAACAATAAAACACTTTAATTACAATTGAACAGTTACAGAATAAAAGCAGCACCTAAATAATGGACCCACTTGCAGTCCAAGGGCCACCTTCTCTAAAAGCAGTCAGAAAGACACAGAGAGGGAGCGAACCAAGCCTCCCTCAGGAAGGCGTTCCACAGCTTTGGACTAGCCACCAAAAAGGGTTGCTTCTGCTTCTTAGGGCTGCACTTTTGAAAAGAAAGGCTTCTCTGTAAGATCTTAGTCCTGAGCAAGCTCATGGGCAAGAAGGTGACCTTCCAGGTAGCCTGGTCCCAAGCCATACAGGTCAATCAGTGCACTCTTGAAAGGTCAGAATGACCCTCAAAGGTCACTGAAAGGCTTCAGTACCTTTCAGAGCCACTTGCCATGGAAAGCAAAACCAAAATAATATACATCATAATGTACACATTAGAAAAAACGTACCTATTACGAGATCTCCCTTCACTTCAGTGTAGGACTGAGCCCCTGCCAGGGTTCATCAGAGCAAGGGTCCATTTTCCCACCTCTTCTCACAGTCCTGAGGCAAAGCAGCTCCTTCGTGGTCTGCCAAAGGCTACGGGTACCATGTGTGGGTGCTTTTTTACCTTCTGCTTTGCTTGCTGCAGGTGGCAGTGCCAGATGTGCTGAAAGCTTCAGCCGATGCGGACATTCTCCTCTTCGTAGTGCCACACCAGTTCATCGGGAAGCTTTGTGACCAGCTGAAAAGCCACATCAAGAAGGACGCAATCGGGGTCTCGCTCATCAAGGTATGATGCCCTTGGCCGTGGCTTCAAGGTGGGGCTTGGCTGCGCTTGCAGCTGTGTAGGAACTGCATGGAAGAGGTCTGAAGGCACGTGCTTGGGTCTGCTGGAAGGCACTGCAGTGTCACAAGATAAAAAGGAGGACAGGGTCTGAAAACAGGCTGGAGAAGAGTGGGGAGAACCCACGATTGCCTATGATTAAACAATGTCGATCATTTATTGAGAGAGAGCTTATCAAGCAGTCATGAGGAACCTCAGGACACGTGGCCAAATCTGGCCCTCTGAAGCTCTCCAGAAGGCCGCAACCCTTCCCTCAGTCTCAGCCTCTTTCTACAAACCGTTGATCATTTGGTGGTTTCTTGGCGTTTAGTCAGTCTTTTAAAAAAAGTTGCCAAGGCTTAGCTACTGGCCGTAAGAGCTTTAAGCGAAGGCATGTTGGCACTTTGACGCCACCCTTTTGCCTTTGGTCCCGTCCACCTCTGGAAGGCCATGTTCAAGAACTTCTCTAGAATGGAATTCAGCCCTTGTCCTGAAGTAAGTTCTCCATACCTTGCACAAGGCTTATGGTGGCCTTGCTCAACCAGATGCCCCCTCCAGAAGCGCTGAAGCACAACCCATCATCCACAACCTACCTCTCCAATGGCTGGCTGAAGAAGGGTTATGGATGACAGTGCAGCTGGCTGAGACTTCCCCATTAGAAGCCTCTTGACTCTCATGCCTTTTTCAAAGCATCAGAGAAAAAGAAAGCTCTGTTAATTGAACCCCTATAATTTAATACCATCATAGGAACTCGTCCCTGGCCTCTTTGTACTGTCCCCCAAAACAGCCACGAACAGCTTAATAAAGAAGGGTTTCATGCCCTGTCTGCAGGTGTTATGTTTCCCTTACTCTCCAGGTGTGGTGTTTGCCATGCCATGAAAAAATGGCAAATATTTTGCAGGGACAGAGTTCAGTGATGGCTTGGATATATTTGTCATTATCTTCCTGTTACCAGACAACTGGCTGTAGCATCTACCAAATGCTGTTCTATCGCTGGGATAATGGATTCTTTTCACGAACTGGCCCCTTTCGCCAGAAATGCTTGAAGCTGATTCAAGCTCTGGCAAGCAGACTGATGGGGCCAGCAAACTAGAGTCGTGTTCCAGAGATCAGCTGATGCACATGATTTGCCTCTTGAGATGCTTTCACCATGCCAGCATCACACTTTAGATTTCCCCACCTTTTCAGAGCACGCTTGTAAGGCAGACAAGGAAAGTCTATTCAGGGACGGGGAGCATGGAAGCCGAGGGCGATGTCCACTCTAAATCAGTTTGCCCAAAATACAAAAGCATGATCCCAAAAATGCGTCAGAGGTATTGAGGGAAGAAGGGACGAGGCAGATCAGATATTAGTGGTTTAGAAGGAGAGATGGTCAAGGGAGAAAAACATTAGAGAGGAGTTAGAAAAAGTCTCGTGGCAATTAAACTGTGAAGGGCTTTTGGTGAAAAACGGTTGTGAGGATTCACACACCCACACGAGCTGTACAGCTTGATATTCCTTTACAGACTGCCCCTTGATTTGTTGGTTAATACTTAGCCTTCCCCAACCTAGTGTCCTCCAGATGTGTTGAGACTACAACTCCTAGCATAGTCGGGCATCATAGTCATGGGTACCTTAAAAGACTTACAGGTTTATTATGGCATAAACTTCAGTCTCCTTCATAAGATGCATGATATGTTAGCTTCATTTGCCAGGTTTGCACACAGAGGTGTAAAGCAGGGCAGAGGGTCAGAAAATGTCCAGAAAATGCAAATACTGTAGACTATGACAATTCTCCATAAAGCTTAAACGTATACAAGAGAAGCAGAGATACCACTGACTTATTCAGCTTAGCCATGTTCCTAAACACCTGTAGTGGGACAAGAGTCCACTGCAGCTGGGAAATATACATATGTTGTGTGCCTGTGGCATATTACCAGAGGAAGGAATGGATCTGAGGGGTCTGAAGTGGTCCTCTTGAGTCGCAGCTTGGCTTAGCAGAGTCGGGCACTGCATGAAAGACTAAGGGTACTGCAGGGTTCTTGGCTCAAGATTTTCTACTGATTCCATATGGTTTGTGCATTTAATTGGATCCCAGGGTGTGGATGAAGGCCCCGACGGACTGAAACTGATATCAGATATCATCCGTGAGAAGCTTGGCATCGAAATGAGTGTACTAATGGGGGCCAATATTGCCAATGAAGTGGCAGAGGGGAAGTTCTGCGAGACCACCATAGGTAACGAGTTTGAACTTCCTATTGTGGGAAGCTGGGAATGTGGCTGTGGGTGAAACTCCCTGATCGCTCTCTCTGAGTGATCCATGTGCCAAGTTCTTGCAGCCAAGATGTTATCTGTCCCTCCTTCTCTTACAAGTGGCGCGGAATCTCTTGCAGCTGTTTTTGGGCTGCTGCTGCCCTAGCAAAGAGCAGTTTCACACGGGCACACCCCTGCCCGCTGTCAGTATAGGCTGCGTTGGTGGTCCTGGCTGGCGTCTCACTTGCGCTGCGTGGGTTGCCCCCAGCGAGAGGAGCTGTTGCAAGCAAGCAACAAGCGCATGTCCTTGGAGACCTGCATAGCCATCCCTTGGAGTAAGTCTGGAATCAACAGGGAGGAAGCAGCACAGCAAACACAATTGGAGCCAGGCTCCTGGGCGGCAGAGATGCGTTTGCTGGACTCAGCCTCCCCTAGCCTGGTGCTGCCCAGGTGTCTTGGACCTTGGCTTCCATCATCCTTTACTCTTTGATAGGTAGGATTCCAGGTGGGGGAAGTCTAGCCAAACTGGAAGGACCACCGGCCAAATACTCTTGCTTTAATCCAGTAGAGGGAGCGGTGGGAAGACACAGCAAACTGGTGAAGAATGTTTTATGGTGAAAAGGAAAGAAACCCTGGATGCTCCAGGTCAGAGCACCGGTCCAGCTAGCCCAGTAATGCCTACTCTAACTGGTAGCAGCTCTCCTGCGTCCAGGGGCATAGTCTTCCAGCAAATGTGCTACAAGAATCTTTTAACTGGCATTGCCAGCAATTGAACCTGAGAGTTTCTGAATGCAAAACATGGATCCTACTATGAAACTACAGCCTCTCCCTGTAAGGGAGAGAAGAAAAGGAGGGGAATGTTGCTAGTTAAGTCCTAGGATTTTCGCAGAAAAGAAGGATCCCCCCTCTTCATTGTCCCTCTATTATATCTCCAGCTTAATTCATCTCCATGAACCTTCACACATGCCTCCAGAGTTTCCAAGCTTTTTCAGGTGTTCAGTACACTTATTATTCCAAGTTTTAGAACTGTTGTCATGTTAGTTTGTTGCAACTAAACAACAAATAATCTTGAAGCACCTTCAAGACTAGCAAAATGTTAATGAAGTCTGCTAGCTGTTGCTTTCTGCTGGTTTTTTTATGTTTATGACAACTGCTCCAAATACTCTTTCATTAAACCACAGCAACATCAGCAAGCAAATGCTAACTCTCTGCATAAAATTCCCCTTTTTGGAAACCTCTTCCTTTTTATACATAATCTTGTTAATTGTACCTCTGATTCTAACAACATCTGCCTGTGGTGGAATAGGGGAAATCAGTAAAGAGATGCAGTGGTTAACCTTATAACTGTGACTTCAGGAACAGAACAGGGGTTGCAACAACCAAGTGGAGGGTTTTAAAAGGTGGGACTCCTACTGAGAAAGCCATTACTTCTTTTGTTGCTCCCACCCTGTTCGATAAGTGTCCCATATTCTTTTCTGAATTTGGTATCATGCTTTGTCCAAGATGTCCTGGTCTCTGCAGGAGTCTCCTCATCCCTCTTTCCTATATCCCAGAGATCCCATAACACCCCATCCTACCCTCTACAGCTCTTCTGCTGAATAGATCTCCAGGTCAGTCAGGAGATGGGACAGGTGGACAATTTCCAAAGGGTGGGTCCCGTGCTCAGAAATGGAGCACATACCCTGCTTGCACAAGCCTACAACTTCAATCAACCTTCCTCCACCTGGTGCCCTGTAGATGGGGTGGCCTATAGCTCCCATCATCCATGGATATGTTGTTCAGTGCATCTGGAGGGCACTGGGCTGGGTGGAGCTGTCAAATTATTTCAGCTAACAGAGCTGGGAGCTTGTAAAGACCTCCATCTGAGGTCTTGGAGAGCCACTACCGCTCAAGCTAGGCAGTCCCGGTCAGTCGACACGGACAGGCGCAATGCAAGGCATGTTTGCATGTCACGTCACTTTGGCTTACGCCTGCATTTTCTTGTCTCTGCAGGCTGCAAGAACCTAGAGCACGGGCAGATCCTGAAGGAGCTGATGCAAACACCCAACTTCCGGATCACTGTGGTTCAAGAAGCTGACACAGTAGAGATCTGCGGTGCCCTCAAGGTGTGGGAATAGTCAGGAATCTGGCAGCTTGACACCTCCTTGCTTGGGCTGTGGCCTGTTGCTGTGGAAAGCCCCATGCAACTTTGCACAGAAGAGTTTGGCCTAAGTCCCCATTCACTCCATCCATACACGTACACGGACACACAGTGGAGGCACAAAGATAAGGCTGTGGGGGAAAACACGCTGTCTTGCTGGAGACTGGAGCAGATCTGATGGCTTCCCATGCAAAAGGTGCTCCAGGTTGTGTCTGCCGGGCACAGCTAGATCCCAGCTGCTGCTGCTCCGCAGGTGCAAGTCTTTGCAAGCACACTGAGGACACCAAAGGCTGGGCTGCCCGTGCCTGCTTAACAGTGAAGTTCACTGGGGGTAGGCACACTGTCTCCCTCTTTCCCCGCAGAATGTGGTGGCCGTTGGGGCTGGCTTCTGCGATGGGCTGGGCTTTGGAGACAACACCAAGGCTGCCGTGATCCGCCTGGGCCTCATGGAGATGATTGCCTTTGCCAAGATCTTCTGCAAGGGCAGCGTCACTTCTGCCACTTTCCTGGAGAGCTGTGGGGTGGCTGACCTCATCACCACCTGCTACGGAGGCCGTAATCGCAAAGTGGCGGAGGCTTTTGCCAAGACTGGCAAGGTAAGTCAGTCACCGTCCGGTTTGGTATTTTGTAGGGCTGCCCAAGAATATCCCTCAAAATACAGTGCTCCTGGAATAAATCAATCCATGCTGGAATTGTTTTGGTGCTCTAAATATGAGTAATCCGTACAATTCTAATCCAATTTGAAATCTAATTCTAATATGAGTAATCCTCCAAAGTTCTACCTTATATTTTCGACAAAAGCTGGCTGAAGCTCCCTAGTACGTTCGTGGCAGAGCCAAGATGGAAACTAGCAACCCTCCGATGCTGCATTTCTCCTACACAACAGTCATACACAGACCTGCCTGGGAGTCAGCATCAGAGTGGGGCTCATTTCTGAGTGCGCATGCACAGGAGCACCACTCTCCCCTCCTTCTACAACCTGGTGCCCTCCACACCTGTTGGACCGCAACTAGCTGGCTGGGGGCTTATGGGAGCTGCAGTGGCACCTGGAGGGTGCCAGGCTGGAAAAGGCTGTGTTATGCTCTGATGTAAGAGCTGGAATTATGGAGAGGCTGTAACACACCCTGGGAAAGGCAAAAGGTGCTTGGGGAAGGCACCTGGAATTGAGGAATATTTAATTCAGGGAAACAGGGAAGACATAAAGCATCAAGTTTATACTTACATGCAACTTCTATCCTCCAAATGTTTGTATTGCTGAAATTGCAATGCTTGTCTTGATTGCAACACTGGGGATTTATCAAAACGTGGAGTATTTTGGCAAGGACTGGGCTGGCAGAGTTAGTCAAGGACTAGAATAGGACCACAGGCCCAGCAAACATGGCTGAAGGTCCAATCCTAAGAGAGAGGAGGAGAACTCTGTAAGCTGCCTTGGGTTTCTTGAGAGAGCAAGAAAGAGATATGATATAACAATGAGGATGAGATAGCAGAAGTCCTAAACCACTAAGCATGCTTCAGCCAGGTACACTGGGAGCTAGATTTCTTTTCTGTGTAAATTTATTTATTTTATTTATTTGGAACACATCTATGCCGCCCCATTCACAAAAGCCTCGGGGCAGCTTCCAATGCAAATAAATAACTGTACAATTACATTAAATGGGCACAGGATTGCCCCTGAAAAGAGTCGGACTCCAGGGCTGGCCTGCGATCCAAGGAGCAGCATCAGCAGCAATTTTAGGGGCACAACGAAGCAGCATGTCACCAGGAGGCATGTGACAGGATTCCTGCACAGTTGCTGAAGATGCTGGAAAGGGCCCCTGTGCAGTGGCCTCTGCGGCTCTAGGAGGAGAGGGTGCAGACTGCCTGGTGTGCGTAGGATGCAGCAATGACCACCTCTCGCTACCTTCCAGAATCCCAGCTAAGCAGGTCTAGTACCTGGCCAGTAGGCCTTCCAGTAGCCTTGCGAGTGCCATAGTCATCTTCAGGGTCAAAGTGGAACACTTTCTTACAGACTATCCTTGGCACACTTCTAGGCCGGTTTCGTACCTCTCCACTGCCGTGGCTTCCCCCAGAGACTCATGGGAACTGTAACTGGCGAGGGTGTTGGGGGTTCTGTTTGAGATCCCTGGCACCCTCCCTCCCAAAGGCAGTTTACAGCAGCCTTCTCCAAACTGATGCCCTCCAGCTGTGGTGGATTACAACTCCCATGCTCACTGGGAATGATTGGAGTTGTAGACCACCACATCCAGGAGGAGTTGGGATGGGGAAGACCAGTTTATAGCACTTCCTGGAGAGAGGGGAAGAATGTTTTATCAACTTACCTCAGCAGTGTCCATAAGTCCAAAAGCTGATGGAATCCATTGTGAAAAAGCCCTACCTTGGATCATCCTTATGTGCAGGAGTGGGGACTGTCTGGCCCTCCAGATAATGGTGGACTGCAATTCCCATCAGCCTTGGTGAGCACAGCTGATGGTGAGGGGTGGTGGCAGCTGCAGTCCAATCGGGAGGGCCGTATGTTCCCCACCTCCACATCAGGGATTCACCAAACCAGGGGCCACGTGTCATCATGCAATCACTCTCGCTTGGGGCTTTTGTCTTATGCTTTGCAGTCTATTGAACAACTGGAGAAGGAGATGCTGAACGGGCAGAAGCTGCAGGGCCCTCAGACCTCAGCAGAGCTGCACCACATTCTGTCACACAAGAACTTGGCAGACAAGTGAGTGCCGTGACCTTCTCCCATTTGGGTTTGCACCCGTATCTGTGCTAGATCGGCATGCTGCAGATTTGTGTGGTAGTGAGCAACAGCCAAAGGCATATCTGCAAGGCTATCAGACACATCTGCCTTTTAACTGTTCAGTTAATCAACCAGTTCGACACATTAACATCTCAATACAGGGTACTTTTTAAAATACTGAAGCAAGCATGGGTTAACTCTCCATTTAATTAATACATAAAATAAAAAATAAAAGCCACTTCTTTTAGCCAGAAGGAAATGCCAACTTTAATATTTTCTCATTCACAATCAAAACAGCTCCAATAAACAGACAAGTGTGTCCTTAACTCTCAAAAATATAGTGTAGCCAATTAAAATCGTTCTTCAGCCAATCAATCAGCTAAAACTTTGAAACATGGATTTTAAAGCAGGGATAGGCAGAAAGTAGATCATCATACATTTCAGATCTCACTTCCCAGCATTCCTGACCATTGGGCCTTGCTGGCACATCCTTCTGCCTGCTGAAGTCAAAAACATCTGGAGCCCACCCTTTTGGTCACCTCTGCTTTTAACCCACACAAACTTGCGGTCTTCCTTGTTAGGAATTCCAGAAGTGCAGGGTAAGAGTACATCCACAGCTCTTCTAAAGCTGCTGCAATGTGATTCCTCTGTAGCCTATTTCTCCGCCTGCCCCACATCCCCAGCACCATCGTAGAATAATAGAATTGGAAGGGGCCAAGAGGGCCATTCGGTCCAACCGTCTGCTCAGTGCTCCGGCTAGTGTCACAGTAGGCCCCACATTTCCATCACCCTGCAAATCTCCCTATGCCTAGCAAGCTCTGCTAATGGAATGGAAGCTACTCCAATTCTTGTGTGTTTTTCTACCCCTGCAGGTTCCCACTGTTCGTTGCTGTCTATGAGATCTGCTACAAAGGAAAACCCGTCTCTGAATTTATCAAGTGCCTGCAAAACCATCCTGAACATTTGTGATTGGCCTGGAGACTTGCTCCTGCTATAGGCAGTTGGGAGGCTCTTCCCATCTGCCTCAGCTCTGCCACCCCCAGCAGGAGAAGAGGAACCCACCACAAGGCATGGGTAACCAACCAGGGATACCCCATGCTCTCCAGCCACGGAGTTCAGGGGTCAACTCTTTGACCAGGAAGTCTCTGCCATTTATCAATCAGATGTCCACCGAGTTCCCTGGGCTGGTCCAGTCTCCTGCTTGGCACTTGCTAGATTAGAACATCCTCGTTGTCAGTACGCACAGCACAAAAAGCATTAACTTCGATGAGCAAAGAAAAAAACGTCCTTGACCAGGCGCCTCACTGCTCCATTTCTCTGCCTTGGTTTTAACTGGTCTGATTGAAGGTTCGAGTGTTTTACCTGCCAGTCTTACCTGCCTTGAAAGGCCTGTTATAGCCAATATCTGGTGGAGTGAGGGTGAGAAGAAGAGCAAATTCTAATTTATTACTCTAGGCTAGGAGTATAAGAAGAATCAGCCATGATTAAAATTGGCGTCGAGTGTTAGGTTCTCTCTCTCTCCCTCTCTCCCCAAGGCTTGGGCCTCAGCATCCCTGGTATCCATGGGAATGGGAACCCTAGCCATGAATGTGAATACTGTACTGCAGAAGAATAAATACTAACATGACAAACTAGTCCCTTCCTACCAGGAATTTTCATTTGGGGCCATCAGGCTACACACAAGATAAGAGGGAGATAATGAAATTGTGGCAGCCAGGATATAGAGTGGAAAGACTGTAAGAGCCCATAGAGGAAGTGAACTGCAGCGCATAAGATGTAACATTGTCATGCAGAAAACTTAAAGTGCCTTTCACCTGTAGGAAACAGAGAAAGTGAAAGGGGAGTATTTGCTACATGGGAAGATTCTGTTAAGTGGATTGCTATTAAATTCTCTGGGCCTTCCATTCCTACATATAAAAAAGGATGAGATCCCCCCCAACACATCCTTTTGGGAAGAAGCCTCTGTGAACTCAGTGAGACTTATTCATGAATGATAAATATGCACAGGAGCTGGGCTAAAAATAACACAGATCTGGTATTATTGAAGTCACTTTTGACACTTTGCTTGGCCTTTCACGTGATGGAGAACTGCAAATATCCGTGACTGCAAGGAAAGCAGGAGGAGGCTGTGAATGTCCTGAGTGTGTGCTGTTGGGGTAGCTTGTGCTTGTAGGCAGGGGCCCCGAGCCCCTACCCTGTGTGGGACTGGCAGGGAGGAATCTGCTCATTTCATAAGGCCTTCTACTTCTCCCTATTGTCACTAAGTGGCCTCCCCTTTCTGAAGTGACCTTTCCAGCCCTTCCTGGCCTGCTGCAGCAATTTAATCTGCTGCAAGGGCAGGTGTCCTCATGCCTTTTATTAGACACCCAGCTGCTACACACCAGTGACCTTTCTCTTCAGCTGATTAAATAAATACAAAAAATGTGGAAGGCCGTGAAAAGAGATGTCCCCTATTTCCCAGTCAGGACCTTCTGACTTCTGCTGTTGGGAAGATTGGAGAGGTATGAATGGGAGCAATTCACTTTCATGACTGGGAGACTTCTCTAAACTCCAGCCTCACTTGGAAACCATATCCAACCTATCACATCAGCTCCTTTTTTTCTATGAAGTTCTCCTGTGCAGGAAAATGCCAGCATCACACCTGCTTCTTGTGAATCCACAGTCAAGTTCTTTTAACTCAAGGAGCACCAACAAGCAGGCTGATGTCAGCTATCTGGCCTTATACACTGGTGTGCTGAGTGGGAGAATAAGCCTTTTAATTTTTGCCTGGCTGTTGCCTCTATTGCAAAAAAACTTTCAGAAACAGGAAAACTACACATGGACACTAGATGGCAGCTCACAAAGGACAAATAGAGGTTTTAGATCATTTTCAGTAAACATTTAAAATGAGGTGCACTTTTCCATTTTAACTATTTATACAGCACCACCAATGTATGCAGTGCTTTACATAAATTAGATTTCCCAAAAGAGCCTATAATGCAAACTTCACATATTTCAAAGAGAAAATCTGGGTTGGACACTAACTTAGCCTTAGTTAGAGACAATCCATTGAAAGAACTCAGATTGGATTAATTAATGTAATTCCCATTGATTCCAAGGTGTCAACTCTACCCCATGTATCTAGTGCCACCTATAAAGAGGTGAATTATATATTTTAAAAAATATTCATCACAGCATGCCAGCTTTTGGTGTACAATGAAGTTAGAGGATGTTCTGGAGACTACCAGCACCAGCCAACCTGTGAATTTGACTGATAGGATGCCAGCTTCCTTCTATTTATGCCAATTCTAACAATTAGGTTATCAAACCCAGTTTGTGTGAGGGGATTTCAGCAGGTACAGTGTGATGTGCTGCCCTGCCAAAATTCCCTCTTCTGCACAACTGTTAAAGCTGCAGGAGTCCTGTCTTCCCTTGTTCCTGGTCCCTTCATTTGTTCCCCTGCCCCTTTAATGATTCTCAATTTCACCAGCAACTGGGAAGAAGTCATCTTGATGCAGATAAGCTGAAAAGTAGGATTCATTTGGGAAATTCTGTACAGCTGAAACTGGGAGAAGGGTTCTCTGAAATGCTCCTAAGTCTACAACAAGCTTCCTGCCCTTTGCAGTTTCTATAAAAAGGTCTTCCCCTTTGCCATTTGGAGTTATGTTCTGCCTACACAGCACACTCTGAAGGGATGTTCTTTATCTTAAGAAGGGGCAACCCCAGCATAAGCAAGAGAGCTCATCTTTGCTGGGAAGTCCTGGGATAGGGCCTAGCATAGCTGAGAATTTTTCCTGTTCTGCAGAAAAAAGTCTCTCCTCCCAAGAGCCTATAAATCTCAAAATCCTGTGGGTTGCTACTTACCATTGTAATGACTGTGCAACTTACAACTATTGCAAAGAACAGGACCATAAAGTTGCTACATTTAGTTGGCAGGTATGGAAGGCAATACTCAGAAGATTTTTTTTAAAAAAAACCTAGCTCTAGCCAGACTCTCCAAGATGGAGAACAAATAAAAGATTTTTCTGATGAATTGGAGCTATGCTAACTCAGAAGAGATGGAAACAAACATTCAATAGATAAAAGTTCTTAAAGCAAAAAAACACAGCTCAGAATTCCAAGCAAAGGAATTCTGACACTCCCAGAGCAGATTTCTAGTTAACTGTGGGGATGGGAGATTTAATATTTACGCACACAAGTCAAACCAACTACTCCTGATTACTAGTATGAATTTCATGTTTCCATGCCTTAATTAAGAGCTCCTATGGACATAATGCCCTCCACATTTATCTTAGAATAAATTGAAAGCAACAGGACTGGACAATGGCAGGTTTGGGTAGCTGAAGCAAAGCAGAGAAGTCTTTTGTGTCCTGTCCCATTCTGCCGCCACCCCCAGTCCTTTCCCAACAGCCTGACACTTCTGCATGTCCTGGCCAATCCAACGGCTATCCTTGGTTAACTGCCAGGGCAGCCTTCCTTTGGGCTGGCTAGAGACCTTGCAATGTATCAAGTAGCCCTGTGCTGGCAGAGTCAGCAACTTTTTAGGGTAACTAAAAATAGCAGCTAGAGAACTTGCAGCTCAGTCTAAGTATTGCTCCCCTTCACTTCCTGAGTCATAACAAAAATTCTAATTACTCTAAGAGCAAATTATACCCCATTCTTATATTGGGGTCACTGTCTTGCCCCAGAGAAGGATGTGGTCAGCCCTGGTGGGGAGTAACTGCACCTGCTTTCCTAGAGCACTCAGCAAGAACTGCTAATCTTCCACTTACTAGTACTTTTGTATAAGGCAGTCTGGTTCCAAAATTCAAGAGAAAATACTAATGTATACTGAATAACTCCCTGCCTTTCTCTTTAAACATTTCAAGGCATCAGCTAAGAGAACCAAATCAGAAAAGGATAATAAGAGGCAGCAGAAGACAGAAGCATTTTGTCATTCCTACTTGCAGAGGAGAGAGGATTTTAGCAGCTGTAGCATCTCTCAGTCCCAGAGCACTCTGGCAGGACAAGCAGCACCTCTTGAAGTTCTGTTTTGCAGCGCTGGCAGCCCAAAACATTTTACAATCAGGAGCAGAGCAGCAAGAGGCAACTATCCACACAGCAAGGTACATCATAGCGAAGGCCAAGCAGGTTCTTCTGGCACCGGAAGCAGAAAATCCTTCAAGCATCTCTCCCTCTCCCTGGCAGCCAGATCACATATCACAGTGGCAAACCTTGGGCTGATTAACCCACAACCTGTTCAGATGCATATTGCACATCTCTGCTTTCTGTAAACAGCATTGGATTGGGCTGATTATGACCATAACATGTGAACTTGGACTACAAGGTTGTTTTAGGGCTAAGGAGTGGATCTAAGTGGAGTTCCTCTTACATTGGAGGAAGAGGGTAGGAAGATGATCTCTCCAATTTCTCCTCCCTGCAGCTGCCTCTGTCTCCTGAAAAGAAATCTGGAAGGTTGGGGACAGCATGAGAGGCAATGCAGAGGGCCATAGGGGGAAAATGGATGAAGATTGCTTCCTTCCCCATTTTTCCAATGGGAAACCTCTGCTGGATCATGGGACTGGCAATCTGGATCCAACCCAGTAATAATAAAGTAAATATCTAACAGATGTGGTGATCTTTCACTAAACCTAAAAATCAGTTGCCTGAGGCAGCCTTCTCTCTCTTTTAATGGTAAGGTTGAGCCTCTTCAGTAAGATACAAACTATGCCACAGAATCTAAACAAAAAATGTATTCAGGCAAATTCCATTACAGTTGCAGACTCTGTACTGTTTTTACAAGGATAACAATAAGTTTGCTGAATTATAATTGGTCTTTTTTCCTATTCCAGCAATTTACCAACATATTCTCCTTCTTTTAATATGCTATAATATGCAACAGAAACAACCAAGGGCTTTGTTGCACCTCAACAACTACCACATTCATTCCGGTAGGGAATGAAGGGAACAGTGACCATGAAATCTAATGCCAGAATAAATTTGTTAGTCATTAAAGAGCCATAGGACTCTTTATTATGCTACTTTTGTCATTATGGCAATGTCCTAAATATTTTAGCCAATCTCTACTTAAAAGTCTCTTGTAATCTATTTCTGCTATTTATCCTTTACAGATTAGAACATTTGGGCTACCCCTGCTAACTTTCATTATGACAAATGTACATTAATAATATTCAACACACGCAGTGCTTTCCATAGGTGCTCAAACTGTCTCACATATCTTACCTTATTCTTACAACAGCTCTGTAGGATTACATTCAAGGCATGGTCTGAGAGAACATGATTCAGCTCTGGTCAATGTCTAGATGGAAGAGGGGCCTATGTAGGCCTACTCTGAGTTCCCAGATGGAAGAAAGGAGGAATATAAATCTCTTACAGAGATGTTGAACCTCTTCCAGCCTGAGGGCCAAATTCCACCATCCTTCTGTGGAGCGAGCGGGCGGGCAGTGAAATACCAAAATTACCAGTATAGTGTAGTTTAAAGCTTTTACTCTGGGGGAGTCTCAAGAGAAACCCTACAACTGTTTGGAACGGGAAACACTGTAATGATTGGTGGTCTGAGATGAAGAGGACATGCAATCTGGCATTTAGCACCTGGCATGTCACTTCTAGACTCTTTTGGGAACAGGCTGACGCTTGTTTAAATGGCAGAGGAAAT